CATTTCCCAGCCGTGAGAAATAGAGGAAAATACTGCAAGGAGGAGAAGGCTCGGCGGCGGTGATCAGCCCTCCTTCACCGGCCAGGGACTGGGGCACCCCGACATCCTCCCCCCCAGGAAGACAGCCCCGGGGACCCCGCTTCCCCTCCTCAGGGGGGAGGACCAGACATCGGCAGGAAGGGGGGCCTGGAACCCGGCGGACACCCCAATAATCAGGATCGGCTCCCCCCCCCTCCCCCCCACCCCGGACACCCCGCAATCTTCTCTGATGATCGCACGGCCACCAGGGGGCTCCGGGGCTCCTCGTTTTTGGGGGTCCCTCGATTGATTAACCCGCTCGGTGCCGCCCCCCCCCCTCTAAATCACACCGACTGCACCTCCTCCTCCCGCCGTAACCCCCCACCCCCCAATCTGATCGGCCGACGAAGATCGAGGTGCCCCCCACCACCGAAGGAGGAGATCGCGGGCCACCATTTTAAGACAGGAAGAGAGGGGGAGGCACCCTGACATCTCTCATCACTTCGGGGGGCTGATGTGTGATTTGGGGGGGTGTGTGACCCCCTCACCACTGACATTCATGACCGACAATTAAAGGGGCCTTGGTCGGCTCGGGGGTCCCTTCTTCTGCTTTCCAAAATTTTTTTTTTTTAATTTAAAGGAGCATTCCTCTCCCTCCCCCCACCCCTCTCTTTTCGAGGGCCGCGGCCTAGTTGTTTGTTTTGCCTCCTCCGGCGGCTCCGGTGTTTCCTGAGCTGCCAGGCCGGCCCGCGGGTGGCGGTGAGCGGTCAGAGTCGGGGCGGAGAGCTCGGTGCAGGCCGTGACTCGGAGGAGGAGTGTTGCTATAGAGGCGGCTGGCGGCACGAGGAGAAGGAGGAGGATGGGCTGTCTGGGGAACAGTAAGACGGAGGACCAGCGCAATGAGGAGAAGCAGCAGCGGGGAGGCCAACAAGAAGATCGAGAAGCAGCTGCAGAAGGACAAGCAGGTGTACCGGGCCACACACCGGCTACTGCTGCTGGGTGAGCGGGCAGGGTGGGGCCCACTGTCTAACCTGGGACTTGTAGTGCCTCTCCCCTTGGGGGTGCAGGATTGGGAGAGCCCAGTACAGGCATGCTGGTGTGTATGTGGAAATGTACTCCACTTGGCTCCCCCCCCCCCATCAGTACCACTGACGGGGCCCACCAAACCCCTTTATACCACTGACAGGGCCCACCTGAACCCTTTATACCACTTATCCCTAGTACAGGCACTTTATACCCCCTATGGGGTCCCCTGAACACCTTATCCCTAGTACAGGCACTTTATACCCCCTATGGGGTCCTTCAAACCCCTTATCAGTAATACAGTCCCTATATACCTCCTATGGGGTCCCCTGAACACCTTATCCCTAGTACAGGCACTTTATACCCCCTATGGGGTCCTTCAAACCCCTTATCAGTAATACAGTCCCTATATACCTCCTATGGGGTCCTCTAAACCCCCTTATCCCTATTACAGGCCCTTTATACCTCCTATGGGGTCCTCTGAACCTCTTATCCTTATTACAGCCCATTTATACCCCCTATAGGTCCTCCGACTCCCTTATCCCTAGTACAGGCTTTTATACCCCCTATGGGGTTCTCTGAACCCCTTTATCCCTAGTATAGGCCCTTTATACCCCCTTTGGGGTCCTCAACCCCTTATCCTTAGTACAGGCCCTTTATATACCCTAGAAGTCCTTCAAATCCCTTATTCCTACTACAGGCCATTTATACCACCTATGGGGTCCTCCGAACCCCTTATCCCTAGTACAGGCCCTTTATACTCACTTTGGGACCTTCCAAACTCTTTTCAGTAGTACAGTCCCTTTATACCTCCTTATGGGGTCCTCTGAACCCTCTATTTCTAGTACAGGCCCTTTATTCCCCCAGAAGGGTCCCCCAAACCTCTTATCAGTAGTACAGGCCCTATATACCTCCTTGGGGGACCTCTGAACTCGTTATCTTTAGTACAGGCCCTTTATACCCTCCGTGGGTCTTCTGAACCCCCTATCCCTAGTGTAGGCCCTTTATACCTCTTATGGGGTTCTTTGAACCCCTTATCACTAGTACAGTCCTCCTAATATCCCCTATGGGGTTCTCCAGACCCCTTATCCCTAGTATACCCCCTTTGAGGTCCTCTTAACCCCTTATCCCTAGTACTGTCTCCTTATACATCTTTATCACTAGTGGAGATCCTTTATACCCCTCATGGAGTCCTCCTTATCCCTTGTACACTCCTTTTATACCTTCTATGGGTCCTCCAAACACCTCTTCACTAGTACAGTCCTTTTATACCTCCTGTGAAGTCCTGCAAACCCCTTTTCCGTAGTACACAACATTTTTATACCCCTATTGGGTCCTCCAAACCCTGGTGTTGTTAATATAAGTTGACGCTTCTTATGGGAGCCTTCAAACCTCTTAAACTGGCGGCCCTCCAGCTGCTGCCAAACTACAAGTCCCATGAGGCATTGCAAGATTGACAGTTCCAAGCAAGATTCCCAAAGGCAGAGGCATGATGGGACTTGTAGTTTCGCTACAGCTGGAGGGCTGCCAGTTTGACATCCCTGGATCTATAGGGTCCTCTAAAACCCTTATCTCTAGTATAGTCGCTTTGCACCTCCTGTATCATCCTCTGAACCCCTTATCACTGATACAATCCCTTTAACTCCTGTGGAGCCCCACAAACCCCTGATCTTTTGGTACAGTCCTTTATTCCTCCTTTTGGGACCCTTCAAGCCCCTTGTCACTCCATGTGGGGTCCACCAAACCTCTTATCTCTAGTTTACTCCCTTTATATCCACTATGGGATCCTCCAAACCTTTGCGGCTAGTAAAGTTCATTTTATACCTCCTTTTGGGGTTAGTCTTAACTCACCTCTAGTACAGTAAACTCCTTGTGGGCTCCTGGGAATACTTCTCTATAGTACAGTGCATGCAATTCAGCTGTGGGCTTTTCAGAATCCCTTACCTTTAGGGCAATCTATTAACACCCCTTTATGGAGTCCACTGAATCCCTTCTCTCCAGTCCAACCCATTCATTCCCCTTATGAGACCCTTTAAACCCCTTCCCTCTAGTACAGCCCTATCATAGCCTCCTGGGGGTCTCCAGAACCCTGATCTTAAGTACAGTCCAATAGCAACCCCTGTGTTGCCATTTGAACCTCTGATCTGTAGAACAGCCCACAGACAATATTCTCCCAACCCTCAATGTTAATGTACAGCCCTTTGACACCAACCAGGGGGTCCCTAATACTCCTGATCTGCAGCGCAGTTCACCTCCATCTCTAGTGGGGTCTTCCAAACCCCACTACTTTAGTAAAGCCCACTAACCCCTCTTATTAGGCCCTCCAAATCCTTAATACTCCCTGCGGGGTTCTCTGAACCTCTGATCTGCGCAGCTTGAACACACTGCCATCAAAGTTTGCCCCGTCATTAATCTGTAGTATAGATCGTTCATACCTTCTGTGGGGTCCATTGGATCCCTGATTTGTAGTGCAGTTCACTAGCACCTCTAGGTCCCCTGCATTTCTAACCTGCAGCAAAACACATTTACAACACCAGTCAGGTTTCCTGAACCCTAATCTTTGGAACGGTCCATCAGAACTCCCAGACTGGTTTTCCTGTGTCCGGTCTGTTGCACAGCCAGCTTCCCCCCATGGGGTGATCACTAGTTCTGATCTGTATTGTAGTTCACTAAAATCACTATTTGGATTATCTGAACCCCTAAACTGTAGTACAGATTGCTGATCACTGGCCTTTGACTGCCAATTTTGTAATGTCCCAGCTGTTCCCAATGTGTGGAATGGTTAACCAACCCCTAATCTTATAGCACAACTGCTTTAGGAAGAGTCATAATCCAAGTAACATATTGCTGCTGTCTTCTGACAAAATCTGTAACAATAGCTACAGATCCGCATTACGTATCACTGAGCCCCAAATCCATGTGAAAGCTGATTGACACCCAATCATGGTTTTTGCTGTTCTGTTTTATAATCTGGTTACTACTGTAATTTGAATGTGTTTTTAAATGTGTAATATCCCACTAAACGTCTGTGAATATGGGTACCCTGTAAACTGTATTACATGCCTCTCACCCCCAACTCTGCTGTACTCCGTTAACACCATTTGTCGTTTTCTAAGTTCCCTGCTACTGTCCTGTCAACTCCTTCAAACCTGTAAAACTCACCACCCTGTTGTCTTGCAACGTGTTTTTTTTTTTTTTTTTTTATGTCTTAAAAACCCAAAATCTGCACTCCAGTTAAAGTGACCATAAACTCCAAAAAAAAAAAATTCAAGTATGTAATCTCATCTAGAAGTCCCCCCGCTGCGATCTGACTTCCTGTCAGAGGGTGACTACATTCATTCTCCATTGTCCCGATGTAAGTAGAGTAGTAACCCTCTCTTGCTCCTTCCTGTGATGGATTATAGCACACTTTCTCAACTGGGGTGCTTTCAGGCGTTTTCAGGGGTGCCCTGGCAAAATGCAAAGTGCCCAAAAATTGTATACAAGCCAGCAGGTGGATCAAGCCTGCCTTTTAGTTACACAAAGCCATAGGTTTTCATTGTGTGCTTTTACAACCTGCCAGCATCCTAACAACCAATTGCATCATTCGTTGATAAGGAGGATGTCAGGCGCCTGCCCAGTGTCCTTGTTTGGCCCTCCCCTGCCCCTCTTTATCAGCAGTGGGGTCACAGCTGAGTGAGAGAGAAACTAAGGGAGAAACACTGGAATGCTAATCGGTACCAGTTTGCAAAGTAATATTTGCTTTGGAAGAATAAATCACCTCTAACGTTGGGTGTCCTACATGTGTGGATGTTGCTGCGTTATGTAAAGCTATTAGAATAGTTTTTTACATTTTAGAATCGGGTTCCCCGGGACTGTCCATCATTTTAAAGGGTTCCCCGGGACTGTCCATCATTTTAAAGGGTTCCCCGGGACTGTCCATCATTTTAAAGGGTTCCCCGGGACTGTCCATCATTTAAAGGGTTCCCCGGGACTGTCCATCATTTAAAGGGTGCCCGGGACTGTCCATCATTTTAAAGGGTTCCCCGGGACTGTCCATCATTTTAAAGGGTTCCCCGGGACTGTCCATCATTTTAAAGGGTTCCCCGGGACTGTCCATCATTTAAAGGGTTCCCCGGGACTGTCCATCATTTAAAGGGTTCGGGACTGTCCATCATTTTAAAGGGACCTCGGGACTGTCCATCATTTTTAAAGGGTGCCTCGGGACTGTCCATCATTTTTAAAGGGTGCCTCGGGACTGTCCATCATTTTAAAGGGTGCCTCGGGACTGTCCATCATTTTAAAGGGTGCCTCTGGGACTGTCCATCATTTTAAAGGGTGCCTTGACTGAAGAGGTTGAGAAACACTGGATTAGGGGCTATGTACTATGGAAACTGTAGTGTGCTACTGTGCGCTGCTCGTTCCTTACGTCGGGAAAGGGGGGTGAAGGATAGGTTTGGGAGCTCAAGGAGGCAGCAAAAAATGATTTAATGGAAAATTCGCTTACAGGGCCATTAAATAGTGGATGTGTTGAGATTATTTTTGAAGACTAAGGATGTTTGATGTCACTTTAACTGGCTGCTCACTGTCATCAAATTTAAACTGGTTACCATACCACCACCTAACACTATTCGTTCATAAAGGTTCTTGACGGACTTTTACCCATCGGTTACAGTCATTTGTATACTTTAGAACCATAGACTCCTATATTGTATGAATACCTTGCAAAGCATCACTGTATTTCACCCCAAAACCTATCTGACTAGTCTCCTTTTTTTTTTTTTTCTTTTTTTTTTTACCCTAAATCTGAGTCCTGTTTGATTGTGATATCTGAAAGAGACTGAATAATATCCAGCCTGTACCGCTACGCTGGGATCTTTTCCTCCAACTGCTTTCTACTGTACGCTGAACCCAACATCTGGAAGAAGTGTGTTGTCCTGCTTACCTTGCTTTGCTTACTCTGCCTAACTTAAGCTGCATTTTTGACTACTATATTTGATATAATTTGGGTATATACCATACCTGACCTCCTGCAGCAAGCAACATTTATGTCACGTGTCTCAAGAGGCTAGAGACTAGAGACAGTTCCAGCATACCTTAGTTTGGAATCAGCACTGATCACTCTGTCGGGCTTTTACTAAACCTTGAGAGTGCAACATCCTGGTGCAGCTCTGCATAGAAACCAATCTGCTTCCCTTTGCTTTCTTCTTTTTTTTTTGAGGCAAAGTTTAATTGAACAACCTGAAGTTAGAAGCTGATTATCTATCATGCACAGCTGCACCAAATTTTGCACTCTCCAGTTTTAGTAAATCAACCCCTATAAGACCGGCCATACATGGGTCGATTTTTCGAACGATTTTTCTTTAGAAAATTGGACCTAGGAATAATTGGCCGATTTTTTTGCTCTCTTAGTGGGGCAATGGCACCGGCCGATTTTCGTGGGTCCTCCTCATTTCGTTTATCGTGCATGCTGGAAAATGTGTGAAAAACGACTGATTTTCGAAATCATTGGCGGCACCATCGGATTACAGAACTGACTATGTTTTTGTTTTTCGATCGAAAAATCGTTTGGTATTCGACCCATGCATGGCCTGCTTTAATCTTTCTGTAACGAATATATGTAAGGACTTCAAAATGGAGTAACTACCGTCTGGGTACTCTGCGCACTCCGTTAATCTGGTGTCTTCTCTTACCTGACCCGGCGTGATTATCTGAATCAAGATGTGGCAAAATTGTATTGCCTAATAGCTGCCACCTCTGTGTCATCTAGGCAATATTTCTGTTCATGTATGCGAAACTGAAAGTTCCAGCACTCTACCCTGAGATCAGTTTCACCTTCTAGAAAACAGTTTACACTGACACCTAGTATAGTGTATCCTCACTGACATATTTGGTTCCTCCCATATCAGACCGATTAAGTTCCACTGGCCTGTTTCTTTAGACCAGTAGCCAACCCCACCAGCACAGTCAGGAATGCAGAAGCACAAAGGCCAGGAGTTAGGTAGCCAAAGCATTCAACTTTTTTTTTTTTTTAGTTCATTTTCCTAGACCCGAAGGACCACTTACTAAGATCTGTGAATTTGTCTACTCTTGAGTTGTTTCAGAACCTTAACTCCTATCTTTGTATGCTGGGATTTGAAGTCAGTGGCACCTATGTCAGGTGTCTTCAGTTAAGTAGTTCAGATCTTTGGACTATTAATGGTCTATGCCAGCTTTTCTCAACTCTTTTACATGGTGGAAGGCTTAATATAGCTCTCAGGTCTCCTGGAGCCTCTGCTAATAATTATCTCTACAGCCCGTGGTACATTGGTGTGCGTAGTAAGACACCTTACTGTGGTTCGGCATGCTGCGCTTGTGCGGGCACTACAGCCTATTCATTTAAATAGGCAGCAGTGCCTGCTTTTTCCTGCAGAAAAAAGGTTCCTGCACCTTTTTTGAAATGTGAACATATGCAGGATGTTGAAGAACTTTGCGATTCTGTGTACAGGAATGCCATGTGTTTCAATGGAGTGGGGGTGCCATTAAGAGTTTTGTTTTTGGCTACTTGCAGGCGTGGGAATGCATGTAAATTGCACCAATGTGAACCCATTTGATATGTACGGATAGATAAGGACATGGCATACTTGGTGATATTTTACACGCAGGGCTGGTAAAAATGAAATTATTTTCAGAAATAATATTGAAAATATACAAATGATAGCCAGAAAATAAATGCAGGCAGTGAAAATTGTAGCGTGCCTTCACATTGATAATTTGATTGTGACGGCGCCCCTTAGGCTGGTGGTCAGTGGAGAGGGTGCCCCTTAGTTTGGCGGTCGGTGGGGACGGCGCCCCTTTAGGTTGGTGGTCGGTGGGGACGGCGCCCCTTTAGGTTGGTGGTCGGTGGGGACGGCGCCCCTTTAGCTTGTGGTCGGTGGGGACGGCGCCCCTTTAGGTTGGTGGTGGTGGGGCGGCGCCCCTTTAGGTTGGTGGTCGGTGGGGGCGGCGCCCCTTTAGGTTGGTGGTCGGTGGGGGCGGCGCCCCTTTAGGTTGGTGGTCGTGGGGGCGGCGCCCCGGCGCCCCTTTAGGTTGGTGGTCGGTGGGGGGCGGCGCCCCTTTAGGTTGGTGGTCGGTGGGGGCGGCGCCCCTTTAGGTTGGTGGTCGGTGGGGGCGGCGCCCCTTTAGCTTGGTGGTCGGTGGGGGCGGCGCCCCTTTAGCTTGTGGTCGGTGGGGGCGGCGCCCCTTTAGCTTGGTGGTCGGTGGGGGCGGCGCCCCTTTAGCTTGGTGGTCGGTGGGGGCGGCGCCCCTTTAGCTTGGTGGTCGGTGGGGGGCGGCGCCCCTTTAGCTTGGTGGTCGGTGGGGGCGGCGCCCCTTTAGCTTGGTGGTCGGTGGGGGCGGCGCCCCTTTAGCTTGGTGGTCAGTTGAGAAGAATGCTGCTTACATTACAGGTCACAGGGAAGAATGCCGCCTTATAGATGTCCAAAAAGATCATTGTCACTAGTTATTTATCTTTGAGGCAGAAATGAATTGCCAAGGAACCCCTAGGAACCTTGGTTGAAAGAAGCTAGTCTATGCTGTGTTTGATGCCAAGCCTTGGGCACTGTTGAAAATGGTTCATTAATACAAATCTTTGTGAGCTATTTTTAATTCTCAAATGTTTTGTAACTTCCTGTTCTGTCTGAAACAAATCTTGCTCTGTTTTGTTTGCAAGTACAGTAAAAAAAAAAAAACTCGGATATTACTTCTGCGGAGGGTAATTCCTCCTAAAGACTGATATTTCAGGTTTTTGTAGGTGAGGGTAGGTTGAACCTCTCACCTGCCTCCTTGTATCTCTTGGGAACTATGACAACTATTCAGCTAAGTTTTGTGTTCTTTAGTGCTGTGGCCATTACGAGGTCTCTTTATTTCCCATTTCATATTATGACTTTAAAAATGTCAGGTTGGAGCAAGCTGACCCTTTAAGAAAGTTGCTGGATTATAGCCCCCCCTAAGGCCTTATGCATACTGCTGCACTTTTTAGGAGCTTTTGGCGTGGTTTTTTTTTTTTGTTGTTCGTTTGGTTTTTTTTTTTTTTTTTTGGTTTTTTTCCCCTTGAACTAAACTCAATAAGAGCCTATGTGTCCATGCACACACAGGCTTTATCAGAGTTTAGGGGCAGTTAAACGTCCCTCTCCTGAATGCATCTCGTTCAGAAAAAGAACTTTTTGGCCAAAATCACCAGATGCAGCAAAATCTCATCTATACGTGCCTTAGTACTGGACACATTTAGCACTTGGCTGTTGATTCATTTCAATGGCAAGTACTCTGGCTAATGAAATAAACGTCAAAATGCTAAAAGTGATACTGTTTACGTTAGTTTTAGCTGCGTTTTTTAGGGGTTTTTTTTATTTTCTTTCCCCTGCTGCCAGTAGAGTAAACGTTCCAGTGCACATGTAGCCTTACTAGTTCTCTACTTTCATCTTCAATTTCTGAAATGACTAACATACTTCTACTGGCATTTCTACAACTAACTACCTGGTTTGTCCTGCCGCAATGCAGTGGTTGAATGGGTTACTGGCGCTTAAAGGGTGCACCAAAATTGAAATATGTAATATTGTGTGAATAATAAAAAAATGAAAAATTGCAATAAATCCATGAAAAAGCCCACTTTTTTTTTACAGAAAGTGAGAACTTTGATATCTGAGTAACATTGAATGACATTGCTCTGTTTGATGCCATATTAGGAAAAAGGAGACAGAAAAAATGACAGTGCCAGGTTTATTCTATACTGGACAGGAAGTCAGCTGTGTTTTGGAAACTCTCTCTTCCCTCTATACCACTTAGGTTTAACTATCTTCTTCTGTTATGATGATCTCCTTAAACATTTGCGTATGTGTCCTTGAATGCTTTTAAAAGGAGTTTATATAAGCAGCTTGTAATTTATGCTTAATCGCTCTTTAAAATGTCATATTGCTCATTTATTTGTGATACTGCAGACTGGTATGTGATTAAATTTAAAGGATAACGTTCACCTTTTAGTAACATGTTACACCTGTATTGATACGGTCACACTGTAAAATCAGCGTGGCTGTGCAGGGCTCCGCCTACACAGATGTGGTGTTCATTCACGGACATCAATGAATGAACTACAAGTCCCATCTGCCACCGCTGCAGATGGTTTGTAGTTTTCAATGGACTCTGAGTGTCCTTTCACTGTTCCTAAACCTCTGAAACTTAATGGCCTATATGGAGGTACAGACTCTAAATGCAGAAGCTTGACTTTGCACCCACAGTCTACTGCTGTGCAAGCTCTTGAGAAAAAAAATAAATGCACATTTAAAATTTTTTTTTTTTTTTTTAATTGCCTCCAAAAACCCGTGTGTT